CAACCTTTGGTTATCTCATGGACTTGCTTTCATTTTCTTCCATTTTAACTTGAACTTGTTTCTGAGCAGTTGATGTTCTGGTCCCTGATTGTGTTCTCACTGATGATCCTGAGCTCCTGCATATCCCTGTGCGTTCGTTCCATCTGCTGAGCGCCACGTGCAGAATTGCCATTTATGTTGTTTCCAATTTATGAGTCACGGATGTTACAAAGTTCTGCCAGGCACCCCCATGTCATTTCTGTCACCAAGGCCATATTTTCCAACTACCAGCTCTTTGTTTCCGTCTTTTGAATTCCAATCACCAGTAATTATCAATGAATCCTGGTTGCATACTTGATCAGTTTTAGACTGCAGAAGTTGGTAAGCTAGCTCTTCTATTTCTTCATCGTTGGCTTTAGTGGTTTGTGTGTAAATTTGTATAATTGTTGTATTAGTTGGTCTCCCTTATTTGTTTTTGTCATGTGCCATCGAGTTAGTTCTGACTCATAGTGACCCTGTATAGGGTTTCCAAGGAGCAGCTGGTGGATTTGAACTGCTGACCTTGCTGTTAGCAGTCCAGTGCTGATCCTACAGTACACCAGGAGCCCATGCTCTTCCTTATAAGCATATGGATAGTACCTTATCACAGACAGCATTGTACTTCAAGATCTTGAAATGTTCTTGACAATGTAACTCCATTCGTCGTGAATTTGCCATTCCCAGGATAATAAACCATATGGTTGTCCGGTCCAGAACGGTCAGTACCAGGCCATTTCAGCTCCCTGCTGCTGATCGAGGGTATAGATCTGTGTGCATTCTGCTTCCGTTTTGATGACTTGCAATTTCCTATAGTCATACTTTATCCATTCCCCGTTCTGGTTATTAATAGGTGTTTGCAGCTGTTTCTTTTCATTTTTAGTTGTGCCACGTCAGCACATGAAGGTCCTGAAAGCTTTACTCCATCCACATCAGCTCTCCTTTGAGGAGGCAGCCTTTCTCCGCTGGTGTTCTGGCTCTGTAACAGACAGTGCTCCGCTGCTGCTCCTTGTTATTGTTAAGTGCCGTAGAGTCGGTTCATAGCGACCCCGTATGGGGTTTCCGAGGCTGTACGTCTTTACGGGTGCAGAAAGCCTCATCTTTCTCCTGTGGAACAGCTGGTAGATTTGAACTACTGACCCTGAGGTTAGCAGCCCAATTCATAACCACTGTGGCTAGCAGAAATGGTCTGCCTTTCCTCCTACCTCTTTTGTCTTAGTCTGGAATTTCAGCTTGAAACCTGCCCACCATGGATGACCCCACTGGTGTTTGAAATATCTGTGGTGTCGCTTCCAGCCATCACAGTACGACAGACACACTGACAGACGACTGTGGAGATATTTAACGTTATCTAAACAGATTTTAAGGTTACTCTGTTTTTAAATGTACTGCAGTGGAAATGGATTCATATTTTTTAGTGTGTGTTGTTGTTAAATGCTATTGACCCATAGCAACCCTGTATAGGGCTTCCAAGGAGCAGCTGCTGGGTTTGAACTGCTTCATTTTAAAGTGTAGTTTTTATAATTTGCTTTTCTTTCTGACAATGCCAGATTCCCCTGTTAAGTACATCGTGTCATGGTTTACATCCCAGCCCCTGTGTGGACTAACAGTCCTGGTTTTGGATTGCGGTTCTGGCATTCAGGAAAGTGTGTGGTCAGAAAGTTAGAAAGTTTTGCCGGGGCCCTGGGCGATATTCATGTCCCAAGATGCCTTTCAGACCCTGCCGCCCAGGGCTGTGGTGTGTCTGGGGTACAGCGCAGTGGGGCCTCTGCAGGTGAGGGTACTCCCTAGCACACTGGCTCCAAGACTACAGTCACCAGGTGGCTGAGGGAAGGAGGGCTGCTCAGTGTAGGGGGTCTGGATGTACTTTACCTAGAGTCCGCGGACACTGTGTGCCTCTGCTCCCTGACACACGTCTGTCCTGTGACCCCTTAAATGCCAGCCTCACACAATCTTGGCTGGTGTGACTTTAAAGGATGTCTCTGCGTTGCCATGTGCCTTTTAGAATCCGCTTGTTTCCGTAAAAGCTACCTGTTGGGAGTTAGATGGAGGTCAGTTGAGGAAGAACGCAGAGGGAATGGACAGTGAAGATGGGGAGGGGGCGTGCTTTCTCCACTGCGTCTGCCTGGCACTTACTCGCGGACTGTTCTGGTGACATCTCGAAGGTGCTCACGTAGCTGTGTTGTGTTATCAATCGGATCTGTTGACAAATACCAAGGAGAAGTTAGTTTTAAGCAGTTTATTCACAAGTACGTTTCTCATTAAGAAGGTCCACAGGGATACTGCAGCTCCCAGGTGGACGCTTGGAGCAAAGTTGCAGCTGGGTGGTGAGGATTCAAGTGTCCACCACTGCCCCTGGATGGTGGTCCGTCAGCTGAATGTCACCCATCCCCTGTCCCTCCCTACTTGTGGCCCACAGTTGACATTCTCTTAGACCGCACTGTTCTGTGGGACCAGCAGAGCCACTGGAGGAGGTTTGGAGGGGAGTCAGGAACTCTTCTCCAGTGAACCTGGCTGAGGGGACTGGAAGCCATGTGTCTAAGGAGCGTGTGGGCGAACTCAGCGCTCTGCCTCTTAGAGATTCTCTTTTCTCAGGACACCGGCATCGGGATGACACAAGAAGAGTTGGTGTCTAACCTGGGAACCATCGCCAGATCAGGGTCCAAGGTAAGCGCTGGCTATTCCCTCTGCCTCCTGTTGGTGTGACGTGTGGGCTGCCCCAACCGTGGGAGTGGAGTCACACCAGGAGCACGGCCAGCAGGCACATTTCCAGATGCTAGTTCTCCAAGACATCTGGGTGAAGACGATGAGGGAGACCGACACTAGTTAATTCTTTGGAAGTTTACAGTGATCTGCATGAGGGGACTGAAAAGACACTGGAATGTTTCCCTGAATTGTCGGAAGCCCCCCCGTATTAATGACTGTCTTTTTATATCAGGAAGGCCTCATTTCTGGACTTCTCTTTTCTTATTTTCTTTGAAAATTTTTATAGTTTCATATTTTGCAATTAAATCTTCAACCCATTTTGAGCTAGTTTTCCCAGAGGCTTAGGTCCAGGTTCACGGTCTTGCCTGTGGGTGTTGTGTCCATCCGTACTATCTGTACTATCTGACTTCTCCCCTGGAATTGCTTTTGCACATTTGTCCATTTGTGGGTTTTCTGTTCTGTTCCCTTGATGTTTTCTTTCTACCAACTCTACACCACCTTGAGTCCTTATCGCATTAGTAATTCTTAAAAACTTAGGGAGAGTGAATCCTCTGTATTTTTTCTCATTTCACAGATGTTTAAGCAATTCTGATTTGTTTGGTTTTCCACATAAACGTTGGAATAATTTTGCCTATATCTGTTTTTAAAAACAGCAACAAACACTTTGTGTTTTTGATTTTGCATTAATTCTGAATATGCATTTAGAATTGACGGGTTTACTATGAGTCTTCCAATCCATGAACATGGTATGACTGTTTCTTGGACAGAACTGTGTCTGAATTTCTCTGTGCTTGATACCTATATCCGGATGCATGTGTGGTTTACACTACAGAGAGGCACCTGTTTGTAAAAGCCAGGCACTCCCCTCTGGCATGTGGAGGATTATCATGAAGCGTGAGGAAAAGATAGGAGTAAGGCACTGTTTCCGTCACCTACTGCTGCCAGGACTAGGTGGCTTTGAAGAGCAGGAATTTGCCGGCTCACAGTTTGGTAGGTGAGGTGATCACACCAGGGCATTGTCCCTCAGGGAACGGCATTCCTTGTCAGTGGTCCCAGGAGTTCTTGGGCATTCCTTTGCTTATATATGGACCATCATGTGGCATCTTTGTCTGCTGTCCTCCAGTTGTGTCTTGGTTCTGGTTTTTGTATAACTCAGAAGTGATGAGGTTTGGCTCACTCAGTCTGTCCTCATTAGTATAGTATATCAGAAACCTCCTGGTTTCTAAGCAGGCTCCTACCAACAAACATCAACGGACAACCCACTGTTGTTGGAAATCATGAGTCCTCCTATTACCTGTACTAATACCTGTACAGGATGGAGTAGAGCTGCCCCATAGGGTTTCCGAGGCTGTAACCCACCGGGGCAGAGAGCAGCCTCCCTTGTCTCCCATGGAATAGCTGTTCAGTTTGAACTGCTGACCTGACAGTTACAGCTGAGTGCCTAACCTCTGTGTGCGGCCTGGGCTCCTTGTTGATGGGCCCAAGGTTAGCATCTCAGCCCACATAGCTGGGGATACAGGTTAGACCATAAGGGCTCAGTGGGAGCTGTTGCTCTGTTGGCTCTGGCTGCTCAGGTTTCCTTGCTCCTCTTAGTCCCTCCCATTACTGAGAGTGCCACTGAGTTTCTCGGTTTTGCTCTTTTCTCCACGGTCGTTTGTAGATTCCTGGAACACAAGTCCTGGAGGTGTTCCTGGGAGGATGAGCAGTTGGACCTTAGGAATTGTCAGCCCGGGTTCCTTTGGGGTCTTTCTTCCCCCTTGTTCTCTGCTTGTACTGTTTTCCCTGGCCTTATTCTCAGGCATCCTTCTATCCAGATGAGTGTGCTGTCTAGCAGGCATCGTCCCCAAGCCTGCCAGCTGTTGTCCTGATTGGGAACTCCAAGAGTGGAACTAGGCGCTCCCTTACTTCTGTGCTGACCCTGTTTGCGACCTGGGTCAGCCTTGGCCCATCTGCACCCTTTCTGTGGCTCAGTGGGGTGATCCCGAAGGGTGGGTGGGAGGATGCAAAGGAGGAGGAGCCAGAGAAGCAGGAAGCCGAGTGGGAGCTCCAGCTCAGGGCTCAGCCTGGGGGCTGCCCCCATCTCCTCACCTTTCACTGGGAACAGCCCGCTTGGTTAGAGCTCTCGGGAGTCCTGCCCTAACTTCCATCAGAACGGCAGCCGCCAGCTCAGCACTGTGCCCGAGTGTGATGGGCTGGGCTTTCTGGGGGACACTTGAGGACTCCATGGGGTCATGTGGAGGAGGCATGCTGGAGGTATGGAGCTGGGGCTCTCCGGGAAGCCACCCCTGACCAGCCTTTGTCACCACAGGCCTTCCTGGACGCACTACAGAACCAGGCCGAGGCCAGCAGCAAGATCATTGGCCAGTTTGGCGTGGGCTTCTACTCCGCCTTCATGGTGGCCGACAGGGTCGAGGTGTACTCGCAGTCAGCGGCCCCAGGGAGCCCCGGCTACCAGTGGCTTTCAGATGGGTGAGTGGGCATGCCAGTGGTTCACGCCACGTCCCTGTGGGCACTCGCAGCTGGAACAAGGCCACGTGATGTGGACTCTTGGCGTGGAGGCAGCGTGGACCCTACGGGAACCCACTGCTTTCCCCTGAACAGTCTTGGGTTTCTGTGTGGGACTTCCCGGCTGCTCCCAGTAATGATGCCCCAGAACACCCACCACTTCAGTGTGAGCTTCTGGGTGTGACAGTTTGGCTCTGCCGTTAGCCCCTCCCCAACTCTGCTCTTTGTGGGTGCACTCTGCTTTCCTCCACCCGTCCCCCCAGGCCCACCTTCCCAATTGCCACTACACGGCAGGCGCAGACCTCACTCGTCACATTGTCTCAGAGAAGGTTTTGTTCTCTAATGTGCCTGTTGATAGGTGATCTTCCCCCAAACCAGAACATGTTGAGGGACACAGTGCCTTAACCACGTTCAAGCATTTTCACAGGCCCCCAAAATCCCCGTCTGGATCAACCCTCCCTGACATGGCCTCCTGCCTGCCTTGAGGTCCCAGCTACACAGTCTGAGATGGGGGCTGGTTGGAGCACGGCTTGTCCCCTCCGAGCTTCCTTGTTACCCCACAGTGCCACGCCCACATAGACTTGTTTTCTGCAGGTCCCTACTCATTCATGCACCCCTGAACGTCTGAGATGACTTTTCCCGTCTTCTCTAGAGGCACTTGGCCTCTGCCGTAAATCCAGAACCACCTCGAGGTAGCAGGGAGTTCAAGAGCCCTACAGCCTCTGCCCATTGGAAGGGTCTGGGGGCCCTGGGGACTCTGCTGGCTTCAGTGGTGTGAGGGTCAGGTGGGAGGGGCGTGATGACGGCTCCACCAGCCTCTCCTCCTCCTCACGGGTCTCAGCTCTGGTGTGTTTGAAATCGCCGAGGCTTCCGGAGTCAGACCTGGGACCAAGATCATCATCCACCTCAAATCAGACTGCAGGGAGTTTGCCAGCGAGGCCCGAGTTCGAGGTAAGGGGGCCCCACCAGGTCAGCTCTGGGTGGGTGAGCAGCGTCTAGTATTGGATTCCAGATGGCAGCTTCCAGGGACCATTGAGGCACAGCAGGACCGACGGGCCTGGGTTGTGAGTGTGGACGGGCAGGTGAGCCGAGCATGGAGGTGCTCCTCCCACTCCTCGTTTTAGTGGACTGTTGTTTGTAACCAGGTGGTTTTAGGCCTGTGTTTGCAGACCTGGCCCTGCTCCTGCCTGCCATGGGGGCAAAGAGGCAGCTACGGGGGGTAACTGGCGTGGGTTCTCCTTCAGTTCTATCCCCGCTGGACAGCAGGGCAGGCTTGTGTGTCTGCTGGGAAGGTCATTCCTGCATGAGGCGTTGGCCTCCCCTCGAACCAACCAAAAGGGAAATTTTTATCCAAAGTGCAAGTGTCAACTCCTGTTTCCATTTGTCTCTACCAGATGTGATAACGAAGTACAGTAACTTCGTCAGTTTCCCTTTGTTCCTCAATGGGAAACGCATGAACACTCTGCAGGTGAGACACGGGCTGCCTGGCCCAGGGGAGCGGGAGCGGGAGCAGGCTCAGATTCCCAAGGGCCCTGGGCCTTGGTTGTGGCAGGGAGAGGCTCCCGTGGAGGGACAAGATCCAAGGGTGCTCAGCCCATGGGGTCAGGGCCAGTCCTGCTGGGCTCTCCCGACAGCTGTGCTGTTCACAGTCCCCACTCCATGTCTTCATCCCTCCAGGAGCCCATGAGGAGGAGGAGGGCCATGGGGGGGCCTGTGTGGACGGCTGCAGGGGTGAGGGGACTTGGCCCACTGTTCTGCGGGGGGCTGAGTCACTGTGGGGGCCAATCCACACCGCTGTCAGCACCAGAAACATGTGGCTGTTGGAGGAGGCGATGAATGGGCGTTCTCCCCGGGTTTCCACCTCAGGCCATCTGGACGATGGACGCCAAGGATGTGGACGAGTCACAGCACGAGGAGTTCTACCGCTATGTCGCCCAGGCCCACGACAGGCCCCGCTACACACTGCACTATAGGACCGACGCACCCCTCAACATCCGCAGCATCTTCTACGTGCCCGAGATGGTGAGGAGTGCTCCCCAAAACATGCCCCTTTAAGACTTCTGAGGGGTCCCACGCTCGAGAAACCTGCGCAGGCTGAGCCCGCCTGTCCCCGCCTGCCTGGAGCCCTTCCAGCAGCCTGCTCTCACTGTTGATGGTTTTGGAAAGAGCTGGGCCTCAGGGCAGGAGAGCAAGCTTGGCTTCACAGTGCATCCTAGCCGGAGGGGGAGGGTCAGGGAAGGCTGGGTTGGTGAGGGCAGCAGCTCACCTCTCTCTTAACGGTCGGACCAACCTCTGTTCACAGAAGCCATCCATGTTTGACGTGAGCCGGGAGCTGGGCTCCAGCGTTGCCCTCTACAGCCGCAAAGTCCTCATCCAGACCAAGGCCTCTGACATCCTGCCCAAGTGGCTGCGCTTCATCCGAGGTACGGCAGCATGGGGCCCAGGCTCAGCAGTCTGGACGTCTCCCAAGTGGCCCACCTGTGAGGGAGGCTCAGACGCCTGCCCTGGCGGGAGGAGGAGGGCCACTTGGATGGAGCGCTCTTCCAGTGGTTTCACTACAGCCTCAGTTTCTGATTTGTGTGCACAGTGCCTTGAATTTGGGTGAGATTATAGTTCATTAAAGGAGCTCTGGTAGTGTAGTGGTTACAAATCGGGCTACGAACCAGCAGTTCGAAACTACCAGCTGTTCACGGGAGAAAGCTTCAGCTTTCTGCTCCTGTAAAGATTTACAGCCTCGGAAACCCTCTACAGGGTTGCTATGTGTCGGAACCGACTCCACGGCACAGAACAACAACAAATAGTTCATTAGGGAGCACAGTAGCTCTGTAGGATAAGCACTGGACTATAAGCCACAAGGTTGGTGGTTTGCCACTCCAAGGGAGAAACATGAGGCATTGTTCTCCCACAAACACAGCCTCAGAGCCCTTTACTGTGTTGCTGTGAATCGGAACCTACTCGACAACTCTTTCCATCATGTATGTACACACCTGATACTGAACACGTGTACATACACAGGACTTAGCAACAACGTACATACATCACATGGCACTTCACAACAGTATAGTTTATTAAGGAGCCCTGGGTGGTGGAAATGGTTAATATTCCAGCCAGCGGGTTGGAGGTTCAAGAAAGTGCCTTGGAAGGAGGGCCTGGTGACTTCTGAAGAGTGGGCACAGTGGCACTGGTGCCGCACTTAAACCTTCATCTCATGTTAGCAAAAGTATGAGATACCCTTGAGGTATTGTGACTTTCCACACAAGAGCCCGGGATGTCGTTTTCGATATCCGATGGCTGCCCCACAAAGTCACTCTGCTTTTGCTGCATCGTTCTGGCACTCTGGGGTACAAGCAGGTCCTCTCGAGGTGTCCCCCTGCTTCCCTCACACTCTGACCTGGGTGGTACACGGGCATGGGTGGTGGCAGGCCGACCCACGGTGTCTGATGCTCCGTATCTCTAGGTGTGGTGGACAGTGAGGACATCCCCCTGAACCTCAGCCGGGAGCTTCTTCAGGAGAGCATCCTCATCCGGTAAGCAGAGGGGAAAGTGAGGACCCAGAGGAGGCAGGCCGGTTGGAGGCATGGACATGCCCAAACTACTGAGTCTGTGGCCAGAACGACCACAGAGTGGCCTGCCTCATCTGTTGGGACTGTAGGACCAGACTGGATCAGCCCGTCTGATCCCAAGGCTCACCCAGTACTCACATTACAAATTGGCTTGCCAGCTTTTTTCCGTAATAAAATCAGAACTGAAAGACTCTATCTGTCCTTGTGGTAACCCTGGGCTTCCTCTTAGCAGTTAGCGGGGTTAGCAGCCCACTGGGGCAGGTCCTAGAGTCAGCGTGTGAGACAGCCAGCCAATGGAGTACAGCACGCCGCCCGAGGCTCCGCTGGAAGCAAGCCCCAGATGAGGTGGTTGGTGTGGGGTCAGTGTTTCTTCTTAGACTCGCTGCGCACAGGTACTGAGGTGCTCATGCTAGGATGGGAGCTAAGTCTTCCTGTCATGCAGGCCAGCGGCTTGGCTACCAGCAGTGGTGAGGATGGGTAGAAAAGTGGGTGCAGAGAGCGTCCAGACAGCCTGTCTCTTGGAGGCTCTCTGTACCCTCTTTTCTACTCATCTTCCCCATGTGACTGAGGGGACAGGCAGCCCAGTTACAAATGAGATCCATTCCTAAGTCTTCAAGTCGAATGGCGGCTGAGTGGGAGCAGGATTCTTACTTACCTCAGCTTTAGTGCCAGAGAAGGCATCAGGCTGCTAACTTCAAGATCAGCGGTTCAAATCCACTGGCCACTCCACAAGAGAAGATCAGGCTGTCTGTTTCCATAAAGAGTTAATGTCGGGAACTCTACGGAGCAGTGTGAGCTGCTGTTGACTCCCTGGCAGTGGATTTTAGTGCAGGAAAAGGGTCCAGACCTGTCCAGGGGTTTGAATAGTGCATGTAGCAAGTGAGGCCAAAGGTGAAGTTCTTGTGAGTTGTTTGAGAATGCTGGTAGAGCAGTGGTTAAAGCACTTGCTGTAAACCTAAAGGTTGGTGGTTGAAACCCCCCACCAGCTCCAAGGGAGGAAATTGTGGCCATCTGCTTCTGTGAAGGTGACCGCCTTGGGACCCCACGAGGCAGTCCTCTGACCTAGGAAGGTGCTAGAAGTCAGAATCCACTGAGGGTTGGTGGGCTGTGGTCTGTTTGGTTAAGGGTTGGTTCATTTGTTTCAAAGTGAGGGCAGCTATCCATAACAAACGTTAGGGTAATCAGGTAAACTTGTCCTTCAAACCAGGAAGGACATTTCTCCTCAGAACTGTGGTCCAGCCACTGAAGTCACCAACTTGGTACTGAGACACGACTCCCACCACCATGCAAATGCCCCTGCTTGTCCTCATAATGCCCTTTGTAGTGCAAGGACCAGTCCAGAGTCACTCAAGGCTTTAATCGCAAAACTGCGTCTTCCAGTCCATGAAGGGATGTTTTTCTTGGATCATAGCGAAGATGCCAAGTACAAGAGGGAAAACTGGTGTCTCAGGTCCATTCTGCAGGGTCCCAGCATCTGGGCCCACATCCTGGCGCAGTGCCCTGGACAGCCTTCTGGGGCAGAGCGTCATCCTGCCTCCGTGTTCCTAGTAGATCACCTGGAAGCTCCCCTGCTAGTGTTGGGAATACTAGTGACGTAGCATATCCAGCCACGACATTCAGACACTGCTGCTTCTCTAGGCATTTTGTTCCTTCCAACAGTGTTGTAGTTTGCAGTATACGAGTGGTCATTTCCCTGCTTAAATGTATTTTTATTCCTCAGCATTTTATTCTGTTCAGTGTGGTTGTAAACACACTCTTTACAGTCTTGATTGTTTTTCATGTGGGTTCATGGCTGATGTATAGAAACGTAACTGAGTTTTGTGTTAATCTTGCTCCCTGCCACGTTGCCAAGTCACTTCTAAGCTCTTGTGAAATCTTTGGGATTTCTCCACGGTCAATCATGTTGTCTGCAAATGGTGATATTTTTACTTCCTCCTCCCAGATTCAGATGCCTTTTTTATCCTTTGGTTGCCTGACTGCTCTGGCTGGAATGATATGTGGGCACCTGGTTTTGTCCCTATCTTCAGTCTCTCATTTGAGTGTGATGCCGGCTGTGGGGTTGTCAGACCCCTCATCCCCCTCGCTGAGGTGTCTACCCAGGCCCAATGAACTGATTTTGTTCTGGATAGAAAAGTTGAAAAGGAAAAGCTTGATGAATTGTAAACACCATCATCCCCTACCCTGAACTGTTAAGGAAGTACATGGCGGTTTAACGTCTTTAGAGACAATAATGAAGAATCACCATAATGTCAGCTACGCTTCTGATCGTCCTCGTGTGCGGCATCTGACCAATGTGAGTCCTGTGTCCAGCGAGCCGGCCCTCAGGAACTCCAGAGCAGACCGTGGGTCGAGTTTGCACACATTTGCTACATGACCATGCATGGTCACTTCTCCAGCTGGGACTTTCTCACTTTCTCTCCAAAGGCCATCAGAGGACATGGGTGGAGTCCTGTGCCATTTCCCAGCGTCTGTTTCTCTTTATCTCGTCTGTCCTGAGGAGCACAGAGCTGAGGTGTTCAGGCTGAGAGGCCACCTGAGTCTCTGTGGATCCGTGGTCACCTCCTGAGGTTCATGATACAATGACTGATGGTCTCTAGGAGTGGGTAGCATTCAGTCCTGTCTATGCGGGGTGACCCCAGTCTCTCCTAACTCTGGGTTTCTTTTAAACCTCCAGTTTAGCATAAATGATACATTGCTGTTTACACGAGTCTGATTAGTAATGCTGAGCGTGTTTTTATATGGTGTTTACTACCATTCAATGCCATCTTGTTCTGTAGGAAGCTCCGTGATGTTCTGCAACAGAGGCTGATAAAGTTCTTCGTGGACCAAAGTAAAAAGGACCCTGAGAAATACGCCAAGTTTTTTGAAGACTATGGCTTGTTCATGAGGGAGGGCATTGTGACCACTGCTGACCAGGAGGTCAAGGTAGGACTGAGCTGAACTTTCTTACTGCACAGCCTGAAGGTGTGAAGGAGGCTAGGTGAGGCCACAAGCTTGTCCCGCCCTGGATGTGAGGACGTTGTGGCCAGTGGGTGATGCTGTTCCACAGGTTCAGCCAGCACAACTCCCTGGTCTCTGCAGGCTCTGAACCCTGACAGCATGGGAGGATCTTGTCACCTCCCAGTCCCGGGCCCCAGAGCTAGAAGAACGTGAACGAACACTGTCTCCCCCCAAAGTCTCCTCAGGGAGATGACAGAAAAGCCTGGGGGTGTTGGGTGGGGAGGTGGCGCTATAAGTGTGTGTTAGCAAGGAAAAGGATGTGTCTGGTGTGAATGGTAGAAATCCTTTCAACTCTGCCATTGGGACCAGTAGTTAATTCAGCTATTCAAATTTGCGTTTAAATTTTGAGTTTCACATTCAGAACACAAAACTCAGCCTTGGACAGGTGCACTTCAGTGGTTTTTAGGACAATTAGTGTGGTGCAGAACATTTGCATCCCAGAACATTTGCATCTCCACCCCCCTGCTAACTGTGAATCTACTTCCTGTCTGTATGAATTTGTCTCTTCAGGACATTTCATAAGGAATCTTGGTGGCACAGTGATTGAACACGAGGCTGCTAACTGAAAGGTTGGTGGTTCGAACCCAACAGCTGCTTCCTGGGAGAAAGCTTTCACAGTTTGCTCCCATAAGGATTTACAGCTTTGAAAACTCTATGGGGTTCTTCACCTCCACCACCGCTAGTAGTCATTTTGCCATGGCTCCTTAGCAGGGGTTGCCCCAGGAGCTGGCCGGCCAAGGCTGTGGCCGGGGGCTGGGTGTTGGTGGTGGGCACGGGCGGCATCGGCTGTGAACTCCTAGAGAACCTTGTGCTCACTGGTTCGCCTGCATAGATTTGGTTTAAAGATTGATCCAAATGCTACTGACGTCAGCAACCTTAACAGACAGTTTTTGTTTTGAAAGAAACCTGTTGGAAGATCAAAGACCCAGGTTGCCAAAGAAAATGTTCTGGCGTTTTTTACCTAAAAGCTAATTATCTATCATAGCTTATCATGATAGCATCATGAGCCCCGACTATGATGTGGAAGTTTTCTGACAGTTTATATTGGTGGTGGTGGTGGTGGTGGTGAAGTGCCGTTGAGTCGGTTCCGACCCATAGCGACCCTGTATAGGGTTTCCGAGTAGTGACTGGTGAGCTTGAACTGCCGACCTCGCATTAACCCACAGCGCCACACCAGGACTCCTTATATTGGTTATGAATGCTTTAGCTAATAGCTGCCCACAACCACATGAACAGAATGTGTCTAGCAGCTGATCTACCAGCAATTGCTTGTTATCTAGGACAAGTGACTGTTATCAAAAACGCTGTAACCGAGTGTTTTGAATGTCATCCTAAACCAACACAGAGAACTTTTCCTGGCTGTAGAGTTCGTAACACACCTTCAGAACCTATGGATTGCATCATTTGGGCAGAGTATTTGTTCAGCCAGGTGTTTAGGGAAGAAGATGCTGATCAAGAAGTGTCTCCCGCCGTGCAGACCCGGTCAGGAGGTCAAGCCCCTGTGGGCCCAAG